CTACGCTCGAGCGTCGCTTCTTGCGCTCAAGCGAAACAATGTATCTGACGCTCGAGCGTCACTTTTCACGCTTGAGCGGACTGCGTGTATATCAGTCTGTAAGGATGACCTTTTTGTTCACTTTTTCATTCCTCTCTCTCTCTAAAACTTTTCCAAAACCTAGATTTTGAGTTTCTATCCCTAAAACTCATCTTCTCTTTACTATTCCACCTAGATCCATTTAGATCTTCACCCAAGTGCCTTTGAGAAAAAGGTAGAGCGCCTCAAGAACTTTGTTTTGACCCGAATAGAAGTTGGTTCCGACATCTTTGAAGTCCTTCTGTTATTACTTTGGTCATCTAAACTTGTGGTAGGGACTTTGTACACCTTAATATGGGTTTTAACTTGGTTATAGGTTGTTGTGTGAAAATGGCGAGATTTTTTTTTTTTTGGGGGGGGGGGGTGGGGGGGGAGTGGGTAGTGTTTTGAGCAAACCTAGGGTTTGGGTTCAAATTTGGAAGGATGGATTTCTATGTAGGTGTTATATAAATGATTATGGGGTTTGGATATGAGGTCATCTTCTGTTAAAATAGTTGATTTTGGCCTTTGGGTTAATATTTGGAAAATGAAGAGCTTTTCCCTAAAATGTCTTGAATAATTATTTTGTATAAATAATGAAATTGGTATGGAAAATGTGAAATTGGGAGGATGTATACTTGAATGGTGTTGGATTTGTTTAATCACTTACCTATGGAAATTTGATGATTTATCTATTATATAGATTGTATATCTGTTTAGAAATATCTATTTTGGGCTATCGGTGGAGGATAGTCATGATTGTTGTAGACATTGCATGTGGATTAGGCGAATTGAAACTAATCCCTTATCCATTATCATTGAATATGATTATGAATGATATACATTGTATATGTATGATATTTGGGAGAAGAAATGAGATGTACTCCATGTGTTGAGGATTAAAAAGAGGATGGACTCCATTGAACAAAGTTGGCCTGTGTGTCTAGGGTGAAAGTTCTGAAAACCATTTATATACATTGGTGCCGATTCCCGCAGACAAAATTTTCGTAAAATGGCAAATAAAAGTGAATGTATTTGTATGATGACTTTATCTGTTGAAAACTTGTGAGGTGTAACCTTTGTTGATGGGTTAAATGCAGTGGATGTATCTATTGAACCAAAATGAATGAATTGAGGTGCGAGTTTGGAATAACATGGTTTTGGAAAGAGTTATAAAGATTTTGTCATAGGACAATGAACATGTGCATTATACTTATACCTTGTTAATTCTCATATATTGCGTTAGTATGTTTCTATTAGGCTTTGGCTCACCCTACTTGGGAACCATTTTCAGGTGTTGGTGACATGCCTCCACCAAGGCAATAGCGTGGAGGTACTTTTGAGGAACAAGAGTTTTTTTTATTTTTCTTTATTCTTTTATATAGCCAAGGGCTTAAGTTGTATTGTGCTAGGCTCACTTTTGTGTAACCAAGCCACGACTTAGAAGGATGTAAGCCTATAGGGCATATGTAGGGGTGTGCACGGTGCGGGTCGGTGCAGTTTGAGAGAAAAATAGAAACCGTATGGCGGGTGGCGGATTGATAAAAGTATCACTAGAATTTGCCATTTTCCTTATCAAAAATCGGCGGTTCGGTTGGCAAATAATGGCGGATTTGCCTTGGCGGTTTATAAAAAATATAATTCAAATTACAAAACTTAAATCAAAGAGTAAAAAAAAGACGAGAGATACAGTGATGTTAAGCATTGCGAAACTTTCTCTGATTCACAGCAAGTGTAGCAACATGCCAGAAAAAAAAAAAAAAAAAGATTGAAAAGTGAATTGGAATCCAACTTTATTTTGGATTACTGACATCTTGAATTCCTCTCGAGCAGTAATGTAATACTATATTCTAAGGTATGAACAACAAGCAACTTAAGTAAAAAAGAATTTTTAGAATCTTATAAAACATGATTTAATAGCGGTGCGGGTCGGTGCGGTTTGGAAGAAAAATAGAAACCGGCGGATTGATAAAAGTGTCACTAGAATTTGCCATTTTTCTTACCAAAAACCGGCGGTTCTATTGGCAAATAATAACGAATTTGCCTTGGCGGTGCGGTTTGGTGCGGTTTTGGCAGTTTCGACGGTTTTGGCGGTATTATGCATACCCCTAGGCATATGACTATATGTTAGTTTTAGTCCTCTTAACATTGTAATACATGCTATAGATTCAGGATGAACATTTGTGAATGTCTATCAATGTATATCGCATGTGTTAACTTTTGTAAACGAACTCTAACAAATGAATGCACCTTATCTCTATTGTTCTGTCGCTTATGATTTGGATTTATTGTATTATTTTGCAGGCATTACAACTTGGTATCAGAGCGTCCCAGGTTTGAATACTTTGGGTACGTGGGAAGTGGCTAGTGCGACAATGGGTTTGTCTTGCTTGTTAGGGACTTAAAGTACGAACGCTATGTGCTTATATGCTAGCATGCATTTGTGATTACATGGGTATGGGATTGAATTTCTAGGATGTTGATTGACTCTACGGGTTTCTAGGAGTTCTATTAGAAAGATACTTGATCACTGCTGTTTCTAATTGAAACTTTGGCAACGCTGTGAGACGGTCATTATCCGGGAATGAAATTCATATGTGTTTATGTGATTATTTGCCTATGTGGAGTGAATTACTGTTGTCCATCATATTAGAACGTGAGTGAGTGAGCTTTGGCACATTTGTAAATGTGCTAATCTCTTTTGTCACCTTCATTAGGCTGTCAGGACGTGGGCGTGGTGGTAGGAGGCGTGGTAGGCCTAGAAGGCATGAGATGCGTCTATCGGATGATATTCCGGTATAGGAGGAATTGGTGTGAGAACCCGAATATAAAAATTAAGTAAATAATTAAATAATAATATTACAATCTCAAATATTTTGGTAGTGAATCCTAAGGTGCAAATTAAATATTATTGGAGGATCTTTTAATTAATTTTAAAATTAAAATAAATTTATGGTGAAAGTCTTTAATTTAGAGGCAAGATTTATTATATAAAATAAATAAATAAATAAATTTAAGTGCCAAATTAGTAAGCACATTTTGATCTAGTAATAGTTATATTTTATTTAAATTAATGGGTTAGAAAATAAAATAATATTAAGAGATAATAATTTAGAGCCTTTTGGTTAGATATATATATATATAGTAACCCTAGGTTGTCTAATACAATATATAACAACACTAGGGTTCCTAATCAACACTATAACAACAGCCACAGTAGCCACGGGGAGAGAGAGAGTTTGAGAGAAAAGAAGAAGAAAAGAAAAGGGGATTGCAAACAAGGAGTAATTTTTTGGTATGTGGTAGGTCATTATCTTTCTTCGTCCTTTTGGTTTTGTTTTTATCCTTATTCCATTATTATTTTATTCATTCATGGAGGTTGTAGGTTTATATATTTTGTATATATATATATACTGTTAAGAAATTTGAGGAGTTAAATTCATGTATAAAGAATGGGTATTATTCCTAGTTAAAAAATTCTGCGCATAATCACGAACTTTAAAAATCAAGAAACCATATCAAACGGATGAATTTTAATTTGAAATTTTTACAGTAGATCAATTACATATTGAATTGCATATATGATTTTTTTTCAAAATTTTTGGGAGTCAAAATCCATATAAATTGAGGTATTCAAATCTGTCCAGGAAACCAGTCCGAAACAGTAAATTCGGGAGTGTTGTTCTCTTTGGGTATAAATCCAAAAATTATCAAATTAGTGTCATTAGAACCGGTTATGAGTCTAGTTTCGTACATTTTTGATCTTGCATTGATTTCTCATGTATATTAAGAGAACCGTCAATTTCTTTAAAGTGCTGCAGAAAACAACCTGTTTGGATATAATAAATTGTAGATAATTATTTTGATAAGCAAATCAAGTGAAACCAATTGGGTTTGAAACTTAGGATATACTAGATCATATCTAAAGGTTATTGGAATTTTTCGAATAGCGTGGAGTGTTTTTTGTAATTTTCAAAGTTAGCGAATAGGTTGGGAAGGCTTGTTTGAAATTCTGTTTTATCTTAAAGTCACAATTAATTAAGTTTTGACCGGCGCCCATGTCTTGGGTGATTTCAGACCTTGAAGAACATGAACTTAGGTAATATTTAAGAGTAATGGTGAGTTGGGTTGAGCCATGTTAGCGCACTTTAGTTTGGGGTTGCTTAGTTCGTATTCTTTAGTATTTTTAAATTAGTAGTGACGTGTAGTTTTCATATTGGTTCAGGACACTAGTTGGACTTTTACACTCTACTCTATTCGAGGATTATATTATGTCAGTTTCAGGTGAGTAGTTTCATGCTACGTATTTTTATAAATGTTCCCCTACCCTGAACTGTTGGAAAATTAAATTGTTGTTTCAAGACTAAACTGTTTTGATAAATTATTATATTATCAATGGAATCAAATTATTTCTGAAACATGTGTGAACTTAGCATACTGCAAACTATTTGTTTTGGTCTCAGGTTTATAATGATGAACTATCATGTTTTACGAAACTGATGTGTATTGATTATTGGGACCATGTGTGTATTTAGTCCAGGGAAATTATTCCACTGTGTGTGGTGACTCTGGCCACTAGGGAACAGATCCGGGTTGGGCCGTGATGACTCTAGTGCTCAACGATTATAAGGAAAAGACCTTTAAAAACAACTAGGTGACCTTCAATCGGATCGTCTTTGAGAAAAGGCCCAGGTGCCACCCTGAGGATGACTCTTAGTTCGGTATTGGATCCAACGGGGCTTATAGCCTGAGAAATGTGTGGCAGATTATTTGTTTTTATTGGTACCCAGAAAATTATTGGTGTTCATGTTATAATCTGTTTTAAGCCAAACAAGTTTTGTAGCAGTGTGAGCCAAAGACCTGTACTCAGCTTCAGTAGAGGACTGAAAGACAATAGCCTACTTCTTGGCAGACCAGGAGATGAGATTAGTCCTTAGAAACACTCAATAATTAGAGGTGGACTTTCTGTCAAGAACATCCCCAACCCAGTTAGAGTCTGAATAAGCATGAAGGTCAAAAGAACTAGGAATGTAGGTGAGGCCATGATGAAGAGTACCCTTAACAAATCGAAGAACCCTTTTTACTGCAAAAAAATGAGCATTAGTAGGGTCCTGCATATGTTGACATAATTGATTAACTCCAAAGGACAAGTCAGGTCTGGTAATTGTCAAGTATTGCAAAGCTCCGACCACACTTCGATACAGAGTGGGATTGGCAAAAGAATGATCACAAGTAGGAGTCACAGTAGGCTTGACTGCAATAGGAGAATAGCAAGGTTTACAATCCAGCATTCTAGCTTTATGAAGAATGTCTTGAGCATATGTAGGTTGTGATAAAACAAAACCAGAAACTGTAGACTCAACAGAGATACCCAGAAAATAGGATATGGAACGAAGTTCTTTCATAGAAAACAGTTGGTGGATTTGAGTGACTAGAGTTTGAATATGCTTAATATCACTGCTAGTGATTAAGATGTCATCTACATCACGGCCGGTCATGCCCGGGTTTGGGGTGTGACAATTGTGGTATCAGAGCTGTAGATTTATCAAGTTACATACCTTGCATTTCATCATTTAGATGAGGTCCGAGTCCCTATAGTCCTTAGTAGTGTTTGGTTAAGTTAGTTTTGTTTAAGCTTGTGTTGAATCTTTCTTGATTTCATTTTGAAGGTTAAGAGTTGGAACCTTGATATTTACACAGATTGTCTATTCTTTGTGAGCCTTTGATGTTTGTATTACCGTATCTACTTCATTAGGAGAAACAGTTGTCTTGGGAGATATCTGTAGATCTTGTGTGGTAAACATGGATGGTCGGATTTTTCTAGTGGATTTGATTTCTTTAGAGATGAAGGATTTTGACGTGATTTTGAGTATGGATTTGTTAACGAAGCATCACGCCTCCGTTGATTGGTTTAGAAAGAGGTTAGTTTTTGCTATGCCAAGGCAACTTGAGTTTTTTTTTTCCAGGGGGATAGGAAAGGGCCTTCTATCTGTTTTACTTCTTCCCTTTAGGCTAATCGAATATTGAGAAAAGGGTGTCATGGTTATTTAGCTTGTGTGATGAGTACTGAACAACCAGAGTAGGAGTTAGAGGAGTTGCCTGTAGTGAGTGATTGTGTTGATGTTTTTCTAAAGGATCTACCGAGACTTCCTCTAGATCGTGAGGTAGGATTTTCCATTAACTTGGTCCCTGACACAACACTTATTTCTAAAGTGCCCTATAGAATGGCGCCATTGGAGTTGAGGGAGTTACAAACTCAGCTATAGGAGTTGTTAGACAAATGTTTTATTAGGCCTAGTGTTTCACCTTGGAGAGCACTTGTGTTGTTTGTGAAGAAGAAGGATGGGTCTATGAGATTGTGTATTGATTATAGAGAACTGAACAAAGTCACAGTGAAGAATAGGTATCCTTTGCCACGCATTGATGATCTGTTTGACCGATTTCAGGGAGCTTAGGTATTCTCTAAGATTAACTTGAGGTTAGGCTATCACTAGTTGAAAGTAAGGGATGAAGATATTCCCAAGACCGCTTTTAGAACCCGTTATAGGCATTATGAGTTCTTGGTGATACCTTTTGGTCTCACAAATGCACCCGCTGCATTCATGGATTTGATGAACAGAGTATTTAAACCGCAGCTGGATAAATTTTTGGTGGTGTTTATTGATGACATCTTAATTTATTCGAGGAGTAAAGCAGTGCATAAACAATATTTGAGGGTAGTATTTCAGATCCTTAGAGAGAAGAGGCTGTATGCAAAATTTAAGAAGTGTGAATTCTAGTTGAGCAGTGTATCCTTTTTGGGTCATGTGGGAGTAAAGATAGGGTATTTGTGGATAGCACGAAGGTAGCAGCAATTGTTGATTGGCCATGACCTACTTCGGTGATGGAGGTACATAGCTTCTAGGGCTTGCTAGTTATTACAGACGGTTTGTGGAAGGATTCTCCCGTATTGCTTTGCCACTTACCAATCTCACTAGGAAAGGGGTAAAGTTTGAGTGGAATGATGATTGTGAGCATAGTTTCCAAGAGTTTAAACAGAGATTGACATCAGCTCCAATCCTTGCCTTACCTACAGATGGAGGTGGTTTTGTGATTTATAGTGATGCTTCACGACAGGGTTTAGGATGTGTGCCCATGCAGCATAGGAAGGCGATTACTTATACGTCACAACAGTTGAAAGTACATGAGAGAAATTATCCTACGCACGACTTGGAGTTAGCAACAGTGATTTTCGCTCTTAAGATCTGGCGACATTATTTGTATGTAGAGTCATGTGAGATTTGCACTGATCATAAGAGTTTGAAGTATATTTTCACACAGAAGGAACTAAATCTGAGGCAAAGAAGATGGCTTGAGTTACTAAAAGATTTCGATGTGAATGTTTTATATCATCCGGTGAAGGCAAATGTGGTAGCAAATGCCTTGAGTAGGAAGGTCGCAGTTGGAGATGTAGCAGCTTTTTCTATTGAGAGTTGTTTGGTGGAAGACATGAGACGTTTGAGGCTTGAGGTTGTTACGCCTGGTGATAGGGCTTATTGTAGTCAATTGATAGTTCAGCCAACCTTGAGAGAACGGATTCGTTTAGCACAGGAGATTGATCCCCAGTGTGAGCATATTAAACGAGAGATTGCATAGGGTAAGAATGTAGACTTTGTGGTTAGTGATGACGGGTTGCTTAGATTCCGTAGCCGAATTTGTGTTTCTTTTGGTGGTGATTTGAGGAAGGAGATTATGGTAGAGGCACATAGTTCTAGTTATAGTTATAGCATTCATCTTGGAAGTACTAAGATGTATCGGGATCTTTATGAACATTTTTGGTGGAATGGTATAAAGGAAGATATTGTAGAATTTGTGGCTCAGTGTTTGGTGTGTCAACAAGTTAAAGTAGAATATTAGAAACCTGCGGGGAAACTACAACCCTTACCTATACCAGAGTGGAATTGGGATCATGATACCATGGACTTTGTGTGTGGTTACCTCGTACTAGTAGTAATCACGATGCAGTTTGGGTTGTTGTTGATAGATTAACCAAGTCAGCACATTTTATTGCAGTTCGGATGAACTATTCTCTAGCTCGATTTGCACAGTTGTATGTGAAGGAGATTGTTACATTGGATGGTGCACTTGTGTCAATAGTGTCAGATCGGGACCCTCGTTTTGTGTCTAAGTTTTGGGGTGCGTTACATTCAGCTATAGGTACTCGGTTAAATTTCACCCTCAGACAAATGGGCAATCAGAGAGGACTATTCAAACCCTTGAGGATATGTTGAGGGCTTGTGCTTTGGAGTGGAGAGGTAATTGGGATGATTATTTGCCGCTCATGGAGTTTGCCTATAATAATAGTTATCATTCTAGTTTGGGAGTAGCTCCTTATGAGGCTTTGTGTGAGAGGAAGTGTAGGTCTCTTTTGTGTTGGTATGAGGTTGGTGAGAGGCAAATGTTGGGACCTAATTTGGTGGAGGATGCTACACAGAAAATTATCATCATTAGAAAGAGATTATTGACTGCTCAGAGTAAACAAAAAAGTTATGCTGATCATCGTAGGAGAGATTTAGAGTTTCATGTGGGGGATATGGTATTCTTGAAAGTATCACCATGGAAAGGAATCATCAGGTTTGGAAAGGAAGGAAAGTTGAGTTCTAGATACATTGGACCATTTGAGGTATTAGAGAAGGTTAGTGAGGTTGTGTACCGTGTTGTTTTACCCCCTAGGTTGGAAGGAGTGCATAATATGTTTCACGTGTCTATGCTGAGGAAATATGTGCACAGTCCGTCGCATGTGATAGATTATGAGCCACTTCAAATTAGAGAGGATTTTTCGTGTAACGCCCTCAAAATAATAACATTAAACCCATCAAATAAGACATGCGTTGACGTATAAACAAAACCACCTTCTATTATTCATTAGCGTCTCATTACATAAGTATTACATGTTAACATCATAACAAAATGCCCTACGGGCTTACAGCTTTCCAAGTTAACACTTGGTTACAACAAAGAGTACTAACTCGATACACATTAAGCCCTTGGCTTGAAGTTACATGTAATACATCAAAAGTAAAACAACAAAACATGTCCGCCTCTAGCCTCCCAGCTATGTCCTTGGAGGTGGCATGCTTCCTGTACCTGAAAATGATGTTCCCATATAGGGTGAGCCACAGCCCAGTAGAAATACACTAAACCAACCATGAACAATGACTAAACATTAGCAATTGATAGATGGCTAACACTTATACAATCACATAATTCCCATATTTATGTCATACGACTTAGGAGTCCAAGTTACCTTTCATTTTCCCCTTTTTAACAGATAAGCATGTCAGCTCTATCATCATTTCAACAGATATGTATAACAACAATATCCACATATAAGCATAAAAGCTATATCCACACTCTACAACAGATATGTATAAGAACAATATCCCACATTCACAGATAAGCATATAAGCTGTATCCACACTTCACAACAGATATGTATAGCTTGAGAACTTGAAACAATGGTGGATTTGGGAGGGTAGAGAGAGAAAGGTAGCACGAAGTTGAGGGTGCAAAAGTGAAAAGACAGAGAGAGAGAGAAGTGGTTTTGATCAAATGCCGAGAATGGCGGCAAAATACCATCAATGCGCCTAGGGCGACATGCTTGTCAGACGGTGCACATAGACACAAGACGACTTAAAAGCATGTATCAAGTACGATCCAGTGAGGGAAAGGCGCGTGGCTAAAACGGTTGGGTTGCTGTGAGTGACAGCTCATACGCATGACGAATCTCTTGAAGTGCTTGGTTTAATGAAGCAAAGACCTCGGCTATGCAATGTAATTAGGCCATTTTCCATAATTACCATTTCAACCCTTAGGTTCCATTTTCATCAATGATTCAACAATCATTCTATTTTTCTATGCCAAACATGCATCTAGTTTTATTATGAATAAAACCCCAACTTTTGTAAAATTACACAAAAGCCCCAAACTTTCACAAAATTACCAAACCAAGCCCAACATCTCAAAATACCAAAATTTAAAGACAAAATCCATAGAGAGGAGTAGGATATCCCTACCTCAAATTCGGAGTCCCAAAGGAGAAGATGACAAAACCCAACGTGCTCCAAAACCCGAGATTTTTCGATTAAAATGTAGCCCTCGATGATCAACAACTTTTTTGTAAAGGCCAAAGGTGAGCAAACCACTCCTACTAGATCAAAACCTAGAGAGAAGGTAGTATCTAGAGGGAGAGACTCAACAATGGTGTTTTTGGAAAAGTAAGAGAGAGAAGAGAAAGTGAAAAAGTGATTTGAAGAGTCACAACTTCGGGACTTTAACCCAGGTCTCCGCTCGAGCGTAAAACACCCCGCTCGAGCGTCGACTCACAGACTTCCGCTCGAGCGGCCACCCTCCCGCTCGAGCTCAGAATGCGCTCGCCCAGCACTTTCGCAGAACCAGGCCTCCACTCGAGCTCTCAACCCTACGCTCGAGCGTACAACACTGCACAACAAATACTGGA